GCCTGATCCAAGCGGCTGAGGTGGCCACAGGGCCCAAGCGTGTGTATGTGACGTTTTCCCAGGGTTCTCTGAGTCTCCATGGGCCTCTAGCAGTTCGTTGAATTTTCGACGTTAGACATTTTATTAACTTTTACAATACAGCCGTGTCTTCTTTTCTCTTTTCTGCTTTTCCCTTATTTTTGCCTTGGTTTCTAACGGCAGATATAGGTAGTAGAGAGCACAGAGCCGAGGGCTGGGATGATACAGCAGACAGATTGTGAGAGTCAACCCACCATTCTGCCAGCCTCTCTTTGTGGATTCTCAGCCCACGGTTTGAAGAAGGCTCTTGGACCTCCGATCCGGTCGATCTAGAGATCTAAGCATAGCTACAGATTCACCTGTTACCCATTCTTTGAGAAAACTCATCGTAAGCACCTTGGATGAACCCCTTGGGCCGCTGAATGCTTTAGGGATCCTGCTCTCCCAAATTCTCTGGGTGTGGAGGGATTTGCAAGCAAGCAATTGAGTGCGTGTAAGGACAGGGTTGGCACCTGGTTGTCACTGGACAAATATTTGTTGAATAATGAGTGAATACAAGGCATTAAGGGCTACCTTGGGAAAACAGAAGTATGCACTGGGATATGGAAACTTCCTTCTGCTTCTGAGAATTAAGAAAATCTTCACAGGCAAGATGGCATTTGAATTTTGCCTTAAAGCATGAATAGGAAATCAGGGGATGAAGCAAGATCCCTCTGGTAGAAGGAAAGGATGGAGGGGAAGGGTACCTTTGGAGTCAGGTGAGAGACAATGAGCCATTCAACTCAATAAAAGCACTAATCATTGACATTCTGTGAGCGCTTACTATGTGTTAAGTGTTTTCACACACTCCACGCTGCACTTTTAGCAATAATGTCGCAATGTTATTTTTAAAGACACTAAGGTTCGGAAAGAGTCGAGCCGCCTCCTGCGGTTACAGCGATAATGAGCCAGAGCTGGAGCCGGGGTCAGTCTGACCTGAAGTCCAGGCCGTGGGGAGTTTCCTCATCACCCGATTCCTGGGAGGAAGCTAACTCAATAGCTGGCCCAGGCACATAGTAGTTACTTAGTAAATATTTGCCAAATGGGTAAATAGTGGTTAATTACATGGCCGGGAGGCTGAAAGGCTTGCCTCTGCTATTTTCCTTGAAGGACACTCCCAGGAAGAAGGTAAGGGAAGTTTGGAGAGATCTGACTGGCCGTTAGAGTGAATCCTATATGTCAACATTTAATCACAGAAAATAATCATGTCACAAAAGCTAGGTGCTGGAAAGTACCTCAGATAACCTCCTCAGTGGTTTTCAAAAGTTGTTTCCCAACTTTTGTTGTGTTACCCTCCCCCCCCCCCCAAAAAAAAATCCCTTTCTCCAAATGCAAGCCACACTCTAGCCAGGGTGACGAACAGAGTTGAGTGTCTGGGAGGTTCGGAGGCCACCCCTCAGCCTGCTCACAAGCCGTGGTGGGTGTTGCTGTGCCTCAACAGAATCTTAGGGCAACTCGGAATGTAACCTGAAACCCATGATTGAGGTCCAGCCCTGAGGGGAAACTGAGGGCTGGGGAGGAGAGGTGGCCTGTGGACAGCACACAGTTGGATAATGCAACGCCTGGTTTCAGGACAGACTCTGGCCTCATGGATCATGATCATTTTAGGCAACTTAAACAAGGCCCCGGAGAAGGCCCAGGATTGGGCACCATGTTGGCTCAGGGAATACTGGTGAGAAAGGCCTTGTGAAGATTCCAGTTGTTTCTCCACATTCTTTCTGGCCCCAGCTCTCACCAGGAGGCACGGGGCAGGCGTCTGCTCACGACGGAGGTACAGTAACTCTCTCCCGGCAGGTGTCGAGGGACACTGAGTAGGACTCTTTCAGGGCAAGAGGAACATCTCAGTCACCTTTCCATTCCCTCCAGCCTAGAACATTGCTAGGAGTAAAAGCTTGTGTTTGTTGACTGAACAATAAAAGTTTGTTTTCCTTCAAGGCATTGCTTGTCATGAGGCTCCCATCTGTTTTGTTCAGATGAATTCTCCAACTTTAGGCATTTTCTTACTATTTTCTTCCTTAAACTGTTTGTTGTTGTTGTTTTGTTGTTTTGTTTTTGTTTTTGTCTTTTTTGCCACGAGGCCACCCTTTGTTCACACAGATATCAATTGGACTGGAGTAGAGAGACAGGGGAAGCCTGGCTGCCATCCTTTGGCACCACTGCTCCAGGACAAGTGAGCCCGTGAGCCCAGTCCCGGCCTGCTTTGTGCAGGACCTGCTTCAAGGTAAGGATAATTACTATTTCCTTAATGAGGATATTAACAATTGGCGTCTCCCACTCATCTTATTTCTTCTAAGGGAGCGGTGGAAGCCATTGGCCCCCAGTAGCTTCTGGCCGTGGGCATTGCCGTCGGGGGCCGCCTCAGGTGGGTCCTGCCAGCCAGCACAGAAGGAAGGACAGCCAGGTCCCAGCTTCCTGAGAACACTGAAGGCAGGTGTGGGGCGGGGGTGAGAGGTAGAGGCTCACACCTGTCTCCTTGGCCAGTTACGGGGTCGGGGAGGCTGGTGCGACATGATCGCTCCCGCACAAACCGCATTTCGGCAAATTTGCTTTTTCTCCCCTAGAGTAATGGGAATTCTCTGCATCTCTCCAGGGCGGCTCTGTGACCTAAGTGCCGAAAGGCCTCGGGTACCTCCTGAGCCTGGGTTTTCTCCTCTGGAAAGTGGGGATCACAGCACTCACCTCGCGAAAGTGTCACAGGGATCATCCATCCTTAATGACTGCAGGGCTGTGTAAGCTATGATGTGCCGTGTAAATGAAAAATTATTTACTGAAGTGGCTGAGGCGAAGAAAAGGTTTTCCTCTCGCCGCCTCTGGGGGTGGAGAAACCGGAGCCACAGGGAAGTTCACATCCAGTGGTGTCCCATTGCGGCAGGAGTCATGTCTTGCTTTCCTCACTCCGACATTGACAAAGTTGACCACTGGGCTGTCCGGCAAAGGGACCTGGGGTCCAGCACAGGAGACGGAGGGGGTGGGCAGGAGAGGAAGAGGAGGAGGAGTGAAATGACAGGCTTCTACTTGCTTAGCGTGTGTTTTTCATCTGTTGTTTGTGGGTGGGTGGCTGGGGTCTCTCATTCCACATTGCCTGAGTCATCAAGTGGGAAATGTGCACCGTTGCCTTATACAAATGTGTCTTCCCTTATACAAAGCCTTTACCTCCTTCCTGAGGTGCAGGGTCATGGTTAGATGTGGTAGGTGGAACTAGTCTGGTTTAACTTAGTCCATTTCTGGTCTAATCACTTTTTTTTGGCAGAGGGTCTGTTGTTTGTCACTTTCAGTCTTCCCACTCAGAGTTGCTGCAATCCCTGGACCCCATCAGAGTTGAGGAAGTGGTGCAGCAAAGACAGACAGACAGATAAACAGAGAGATCAAGGTTGCAAAAGCCTGGTAAATGAGTCTGGGAAAAAGAGATCTCGCTCCCCTGCTTGGGGAGGTTGCTGGGACAATGAGGTCATATGTGTATTAGTGAATATGAAAATGAAGTCATATTGACATGTGTGTTTCATTGCTATGTGTGTTTTTCATTGCCTCAAGACAAAAACATCGTGTGTTTTTCATGTGTGTTTCGTTGGCTCAAGACAATGGCGAGAGAATCATAGAATCCTGCTGTCTCCTCCCCTTCTGCTAGGCTGAGACTACGGAGGCAGCCAGTAACGCCGGGAAGATCACAGCCATGGCTGAAGCGGTTTCCTGAGGCCCCTTTTGCCAGTATTTTTTTCTCTACTACTTGCCATCATCTTGATCCCAACAGTAGGTTCGGATATACAGCTTGAGTGCTGGAGAGATAAGCATTGCCCATTTTCCTATATGTGCCACAACATTCCAACTTCAGCCATCAAGTGAAATAAATAGGAAGAAAACCCTATAGGATCCTAGATCACGTGATATAAAATGCTGATTAACTGGGATAGAAATGGCATTGTTTCATTGGCAGTCCTAATCTGTAGGATCACAGAAACCGAGCAGGGAGTTCCATTCGATAAAGACATATTCTTTCTTCTCAAGGCTGAATAAAACATACCAGCGACTTGGTAGGGGTGGGGCAAGGCTAGAGAAAAAACAGGAAATAGTAAGAAGGTATTTTCCTTCCGGCTTCGTTCCTGGCTTCAGCTCACAGCCTCTGTAATCCTGCTTCTAGTATTTATGTCCCCATGTGCCCCAGGGCATAGTATAGAGCCTCTGTATTCCCTTGTTTCCTCATCTGTAAAATGAAGATAAAGTAAAAACCGTTCTCTTGTTGTTACGAAGATCTCCTGAGTTAATACATGTAAGTGACACAGAACACGCTTGCCTCACGGTAAACATTCAACCCGAGGGGAACTATTGCCATTAGTCCATTCGAAAGTACCACCTGACTGTGAGCCCTGTGAAGGCGGGAGCATGGCTGCCTGGCTCACCACCCTTTTCTCAGTGTTTATAGCCTGGTGCCTCATGGACCCCAATAATGGTTTGTTGACTGACCGATGGGTAGAGTTTGGTCCCATGGAGGTTGTCTACATTGTTGAGTTCATAAAGCATTCATAACGCAGAATTTGGGATTGCGAGGATAAAGTCAGTCCATCTCAAGTCTGTAGCAGCTTCGGTATCTCAGCAGTGACAGAGAACACACAGAGGAGTCCTGGTGTTGTGAGTCTGAGGCTCAGACCGAGCAGGCCAACAATCTGGTTTTCAGCATGGCGGTGTCTAAAAGCTGGTGGAGAATCGCCTGCAGCCCGTTGGGAAGTCAAGGAGTTCAGACAAGTGTTAACATTGGCATCGAGGCTCCACGATGCATAACTGTGTGAACCAGCTACCCGCCCCCCTCCCCCAAACTCTAGCTCACAGAATTTCTAGTTCTGTTGTTTTGGTGAGGGCCAGTGGTCAGGGGGACCGGGGCTGCCGTAGGGTTGCCGGGTGATGGGAAATGAAGTGTCTCTTTCTCTGAGGCAGCTGGGCTTATTTTAATGGGCAAGGTCAGCAATGAAATGACCAGGAAGAGAAATTGCTGCCATTATGCATCAGTTGCAATCTTATATCAATTATTCCCTGTACCATTCCCTTTGCCACGGGCTGAAGCAAACATGGCCCTAATCAGTTTTACATCTCCGTTTAATTTTATTGGAAAGAAGAGCTGGCAATGCATCACGGAGGCCAGTGTGACATGAAAGGTGACCCCCCGCCAACTTAATGGCACAATACATAACCCTTAATGAAGTCGCTATCTTGTCCCTCTTTTCCTGTCTCAGCCCCGTGATTTACGACGGCATCATTTTGCTCTGCCCTCTTTTCATTTCAGCTTTGACAAAGTGGATGAAACAATTATCTTCGTTATCGGCCAGAGCAGTAGGAATGTGATAGTTGGGAGATCTCTGCAGGTGGAAGGCCTTGGCCGGGGATCAAAACCAACGGTGAAATGTACTTGGGAATTGTTTTTCCTCCTCTCCCCTTTTTCCTGTGACTACAGGCTTCTGAAGATGGATTGTGTATCCCAGTGAGCAGGGTGAGCCCTATATCATTGTGGCAAGAAGTAATTTCAGGAGAAGGGGAATCTGCAGATAGAAGAGAGCTTGGAATTTTGCGGTTTCTTCTCTCTGAGCTCCTGATACTTGTTTTTCCACGCACGCCCCGGCCAACCTCTCTCTATCGGACCGCACATCTTACCTGAATGAATGGAACATGGGCTTTTCCATATTATAAGTGAAACGTTGTATTTATGTAGTCTAAGTTATTTATTCATCCATCATTCATTCACCATTTATTGGGCACCTTCTAGATAAACAAAATTAGGTGCTGTGGAGAGAGAGTGAGACAGAGAGAAGGAATACAGATCTTTATCCTCAAGAAATGGTATATTCTACCGACGGAAGTAAGACATGAATATCAGCGAATGTAACATAAGATAGAAAGATAGATTCGTGTATCAAAGGCTGCAGACAGAGGGTACTGGGGCTGTTCAGAGGAAGGTGAAGTAATTTCCAAAACAGGACAGCCGGACCTCATAAAGGGAGCAGGATGTGAACAAATAAAAATGAAATGCATTTATATCTCTCATCTTATAGATAGGGCAGGTACATAGATGGGTAGCTAGGTAGGTAGACCGGTTTCATGTTATTCAGCCAAAATGGCGGAGGGAGTGGGGAAAAAAGATAGGTTCTGCTTTGGGTCAGGACAGCGGTAGTCAGTGTTCCAGTCTGTGCCTCTGTGCAGGCTGAGCTGATAGCAGAAGCTGTGTCTTCACTGTGGTTTGGTTTGATGTTCTTCCTGCCTTCCACCCCCATTCATAGGCTACACGCCGCCCAAGGTGGGGGCTGACCCCTGTGACATCGTTTGTCGCTGGGAACTTACCGATGTGGATACATAAATGCGCACTGTCACTGACTAGGTCACTTTGTCTCCGGGCTCCATATTTTTCAAAGAGATAAGCTTGCAAAAGCCAACTCCAAGTGTCTTCTTTCCATTGTATTGGCTCAGAGAGAATTGCAATCAGTTTTCACTTACTCATGGGTTCTATGAAGTCCAAAGATAATTGGTTGGAGGGCCTTTAATCAATGAGACTCTCTTCCGCAAATACTACCCAAATGAGGCCTGTGTTATTAATGGGGTTGTTAAAATGGTGAGAGTTTTTCCACAGCATTTTTCTCAGGTAGATGGAAAGCTGTAATGCTGACATGGTTAATTGGGGTCTTAAGTAGATCCTTCATACAAATCCGCCTGTAAGTAAATTTTAAAATAAATACATCATATAAATTGACATATGTGTATACAGAGAAACCATCTCCGGAAATGTCGATATACAATCCATTTGGCCTCTGTCCCCACTCTCCGCCTGTTCGGTGCATAGAGAGTGAGGGGAGCTGGGAGGGAGGCAGTTCTGCATTCCGAGTCTATTTTCTAAAAGTAGCGTCTATTCAATACTTGACTTTGAGCTGGTCGGTTGACATGTTGGTTGTTTAAGTCTATAGTTAAAATATTAGAGGAAGCAGCATGGACGCAAGGGTCACACCGTTCAACAATGCAGCCGACATATCAGTGGCCACACTGAGCGGCACACAGGGGTGAGCTCAACATGGCATTCCTGTTATCTCTCCCGCCCCACCTGCCTGGCCCAGGAGCCCACCCCCCAAGCAAGCGTGCCTGCCCTGCCCGCAGAGGCGTAGCCATTGCTGCCTTTGATGTTCAGACCTGCCCCAAATTTTGTCCCCGATGGGTGCTATGCAGAATGAAGAGGTTAAAATGACACCGGCTGCAACAACTACACACGCAGAGCAATTTCTCGTGCGTTCCCTTGGGTCAGTTTCCACGAGGCGGAGGGGTCCGTTTTTACCTGCTCTGCCCTTTATTCCGGTCACGTGGGAGTGGAAGGGCCTCGGTGACCCAGAATACCGCTTGTCCATCATGTGGAGCGCCTCGTGCCTGGGGACCATCCAGAGACTCCCCCTGAGCAGGCAGTGGAGGGTGATGGGATAATCTTTGGGAAAGAAAACAAGACATTTTTTGGCTGGGGTTGGGGAAAAGAGGAGGCGGGAGAGGGGGAACCCTGCAGTCACTTCCTTCGATCTCAGTAAATTGGAAAGGTCTTTCCCCTGATTCCTGCTGATATTTCCTGATGGAAATTTCTTCCATTGACAGAGATACAGATGGAGTTTACCGACATGGGACTGCAGACACACTCTGGGATAATGAAAAAATGCCCAAGGTAGCCATATGCTCAGTGGCAGTTTGTTAGAAGGAACTCCAGTTGGGTGAATACATAATAGCATTTTTGGCAGCATTGACTAAGGGAGATCCTCTGTATTTCTATGTCTTTTTGCATTTTTTGGTCTAATTTGTGTGAATTTTGCAATTGTAGTTCTGTTTATTAACATTCTTTATGAGGCGCTCATTCCTCCCATCCTGGGGTTTATTTCCGAGAGCTGGGACTGAACGGAGGCAAGTCCAAGCTCTGGGGAGAGATTCTATTTTCTGTGCCATTTCTTTAAAATCTCAATCGCGAGCCTCCTTGTCTCTCGTTTGAAAGAGTGTCAGAGCAGACAATGATGCTATTAATGATGATAGTGATGATTAACATTATTATCCCCACAACAACCATCTATTTAGCATCATAGCTTAATTGTTAGACATTGCTATCCTTGTTTCACAATTGTGGAAGCTGAAGGTCTTCGAGGTTTTTGCCCAAGGGAACACAATTAGTAATGATAAGATCTGGGATTGGAATCCAGGCCAGCCTTGGCCAGAGCTCCCAGAATTCCATGCTTTCCAGAGCACCATGAGTCTGTCTAACTCGGGGACAGGAATGGATGACAAGACTAAGTGTTTGGTTGTACAACATACCTCTCAGAGGCAATCACACCTCCAGTTTACATTCCTGATTCATTTTATAACCTAAGGCTGCAAGGTTGCCAGGATAGTTTTCTTGAAATACCTGTCTTTATTATTATGTTCTTTTCTGGAAGAAGAGGTTTGTGTGTGTGTGTGTGTGTGTGTGTGTGTGTGTGTGTGTGCATTTACTATTCTAGGCTTAGGACTTACCCAAATATTATTTACTTCTATTATTTATTTAGTCCTGGGGTATTGACGGTAACCTAGCAAAGGGGACAACATGAAGTCCGCGGGAGATATGAACCCAACACACACTTTTGTCCATCCAGTGGCCTGACTCTTTTTCTCTGAGACACATGGCAGAAATAGCACCTTTTAGTGTGGGAATTTGTAGGAGAGAGAGTTCAATTAATATTTTTAAATGTTTATTTATTTTTCAGAGCGGGAGAGAGAGAGAGAGAAAGACAGAGCACGAGCAGGGGAGGGGCAGAGAGAGAGGGAGACACAGAATCCGAAGCAGGCTCCCGGCTCCGAGCTGTCAGCACAGAGCCCGACGCGGGGCTCGAACCCACAAACTGCGCGATCATGAGCTGAGCTGAAGTCGGATGGTCAACCGACTGAGCCACCCAGGCGCCCTGAGAAAGTTCAATTAAAGGGAAAATGTTGTGATCCAGAACGAAGCTGGGAATGTTTAGAACCAGGGTTTTGAACCCAGAGTGCTCAGTGAATAGTTTGCCCCTGGCTTTCTGATGTAGATGTGAACTGACTGCATGTGGGCCTGAAAAAACTGTGCTCTGGGTGGAGGCTGGAGGAGTGGAGGTGGCTCATTTTTCTTCCTTCCTATCACTGCAGTCAATACCTCACGTGTGTCATGCAGGCCACATTGTGGGCCAAGGCGAGCTGGGTGGACCACATGGTCAAGGTAACAAGTACAACCTGTCAGGTTGAAGGTGAAGAGGCTCGTTCCGTAGATGAATTTGCTCCCTTCCTTTGGAGACATTAATAAAAAACACACACCCTCCAAGTGGATTTCATCCCTTCATCCCCTCATTTACCCACCCCGCCCCCGCCCAGAGTTCCTGTTCATTCTCCCCAGGTCCAGCTCCTTTCTACCACATGCTCATAATTCCGTGAGTCTAGCTCATTCCTGAGTAGTGTAGAATGTATTGAGGAACCCACATTGTCTGCTCAGGCCCTTGGTTCCCTAAAGCTTCATCTGTCTTCTTCCAAGGCCTGTTTGGTTTCTGCCCCCCAGTCGTTGATGCACGTGAGGGGCGGTGTTGGGAGATGGGTGGTGAGGAGGCAAGACAGATGCACCCGGCGGCAGGTGGGACTAAAGGACCCTCAAACCGTGCCTCGCAAGGGGGCAGGAGAGGTGGGGTGAGGTATGTCTCAGAGGAAGGGGTGCAGCCCACAGCTCCTGCGAGCCCATTGTCCATCCTGTCTGCTTCCGTCTGCCGGAGCAGACAGCTGCTGAGGAATCCTGCGACAGAGCCCCGACAGCTAGTCATCTTTTTTCTCCCTGTAGTCATCTCGGGGCTCTGCGAGGGGGAGCTACAGCCCCGGCCCCCTTCGAAGCAGGTGGCACGGGTGTGTGAAAGGGAGCATCACTCTCTGTTTGGCCCTGGTTTTTCCCGGACCTCCTCCAGCAGCGCTGTTTCAGGACTAGATGCCTAGTTCGTTTTGTGGCTTAAGTGTAGCAGGGACACTTTGTCACCGATTTCCCCTATGCTTCTACTTTTACTGGAACACGATTCTGTTCATTTGCTTCCTTCAGGGGCGGAGATTAAGGAGAATATAGAGGTTTTGTGTTGACCCATCACTCCATAGCTTGTAACCAGGTTGTTTTGCTTTAATTGCTTAACGCTGCTTCTCAGGCTCTGATTTAGGGCCAGCCACCCCCTCCTTTTTTTTTTTTTTTTCTTTCCCTCCAAGAACCCATGCCAGGGCTTACCTGTGGTAAAGGATTTGTCCTCAGAGCAGGCGGCAAATCTGTTGCCTTGGCAGAGGGTGGAAACCATACCTTGTGACATTCTCCTGATAATCCAGCCAGGCCACAGGGCGGCCGGCATTTCAGCAGGGGGTGGGCATCACATATGTAAACAGAAATTGCTCCCCTGTAGGAAGTAGTTTCCACTGACATTGTTTGTCACCTCTGAGAAGTGCAAGCAGTGTGACACGTGTGGTTCTGGTGGGAGAGCCGGAGGCGGACTTAGGTGGGGCTGGTTTCCTGACTTTTATAGGAGGGGAAGCCGAGGCACGGAAAGGCCTGAGGACCATGATCAGACCTCTGGAATGCCTGAGTGGGGCCCCTAGGACGTGCCGCCTCAGGGCCCCTCTCTTCCTCCCCTCACCCTGAGGTCCTCCCACCAGGTAGGCATACCTGTCCTTCTTTAGGAAATCCCAACTCCGAGCCACAGACTGAGGAACCCTGACATCTTCTAATTAAGGAAACACAGTGTCGGCAAAAACAACAACTCAGTGCCAGGCTCCGTGAGGCAGCAGGAACGAATGGGGAGACGGTCTTCCCTGGGGAGCACGGGGTGCTGTGGTTGGTTCCCAGGCCAGTCTGGCAGGCTGCCTTCCTCTTTCAGGAGTCTTCTGGGGGTATTTCCAGACCATTCCTTTTCCAGCTGAGGAGGGTGCCCGGGCGACCAAAGACAGCCCCTGTTGATTCTTCTTTGGGCAATGGTATTTTGCCCCTGTGACTTCAGGGCTGATTGGGGGTGGGCTGGCGTCATGTGCCTGGAGGGCTGGGCCGCGCGAGGCAGCAGCATGGACCCTACCTGAGCACTGGCTTTCTTGGGGGAAGAGCGTGGGGCAAAGCATGGGGAAAATGCTCTTTTCCAGCTTACCCCGTCACCCTAGCCCGGAGCCCTTCGGACCAGGCTCTAGGGGCTAATTGCTCAGAGATGCGATAGAGAAGCTACAGGTTGAATGGCTTCCCTTCCCCCTTCCAGCGCGGGAATCTGCCGGCCCTGTGTGCCCCACATTGCGGGTTCTGCACCATCCGTCTGTGTCTGCCACCTTCTCACTGGCACCTACGGCACCCTGAAGGGGGTGTGAGGGGAAGCAAGGACGCGAGGACAGATGTGCTGGGGCAGCGCAGCTTACAGGGGAGAGCAGATGGGCCTAGAAAGATAAACGTGAGTCCAAAGGCCAGCCTTAGTACTTAGACACTGTAATTCAGGTAAACTACTCAACTTGAACTTAAGATTACTTACTTATTATTATTTTTTTAAGTTTATTTATTTTGAGAGCGAGAGAGACAGAGACAGAGAGGGCAAGAGGGGAAGGGCAGAGAGAGAGGGGGAGAAAGAGAGAATCCCAAGCGGACTCCACGTTGTTAGCACAGAACGCGGTGCGGGGCTGTAACTCACGGACCATGAGATCATGACCTGACCCAAAAACAAGGGTCAGGCGCTTCACCGATTGAGCCACCCAGGCACCCCAAGATTCCTGATTTATAAGAAGAGGATAGGACTATCTCCCCAGCAGCGTTGTTGTGACACTGAAAAAGGAACACTAAATAAAAAGCGTACCGAGTTGTCCTGCCTGTGTTAGGTACCCGCGCATTCTTCCTTGTCCTCTCCCTGCCCCTCTCCCACCAACATCCTCTCTCAGCTTCGTGTGCTAGCTTCCCCAAGGTAAGACCTGGGCCTGATTAGAAGGGGTAGTAATGTGGATCATGATCGTAAAAAGACAAACAACCATGACGAGGAAGCCCATGAGAACACGCTCAGCATCATACATCATTAGTAAACTGCAAATTAAAAATGACAACGTGATCTCACGGCACACCTAGTAGAATGGCTAAAATCCAAAGCAGTGATAACACCAAGTGCTGGCAAGGATATGGAGCAAAGGGAACCCTCGTTCACTGCTGGTGGCAGTGCAAATGAAGAGCCACTTTGGGAGATAGTTTGTTGGTTTCTTCCGAAGCTAAACAGACTCTTACCACATGACCCAGAAATGGTGCTTCTTGGTATTATGTACTACACTGTAATGGTCAGTTGATATATTTGTCAAAACCCATAGAATGTACAACACAGAGTGAAACCTAATGTAAACTATCCACTCTGCTTTATAATAATGTATCAATATTGGCTCATTAATCATGACAGATGCACCAAACTAACACAAGAAGTTAATGATAGGGGAAACAGGGGGGGGGGGGGGGGCCAGGAAGGAGGTAAATGGGAACTCTCTGTACTTTCGGCTCAAATTTTCTGTGAATCTAAAACTGCTCTTAAAAAAAAGCCTACTAAAAACAACAAACAAACAAACAAAAAACACAAGGCCAGCAACATAAAAATCAAACACGTCTGGGGTCTCAGGCCCTGACGTGGTGTGGAGCCCTAGCTAGCTCTCCGTTCCTGGACTCCTTAGACCCCAGCAGGGGGAGGGTGGGGGGGGGGTGGGGACTGAAAGGGCTAGAAAAAGCTCTGAGGTCAGAAAAAGGGTTTTTCAAGGGGACTCGGGCTTCAGGTGAGCCTGGGAAATACGGCCAGGTCATTCAAGTTTTGAGGGAAGGCCATGCAAGTCTTAACTCTGAATTGGTGGGCGTGTTCACAAGCCCAAGCAAGCAGAAGATGAAGAAAACTGGCGTTAGGACAAGTATTTCCCAGGTAGACTTCCCGTAGCCCAGAGAGGAAGTAATGTGCCAAAAGGAGGTCTTCACGATCTCTATGGTTGACCTAATCTCCCCAGTATTTATTATGACTTAAGATGATTTCTCCTTAATTATTTATCAAAATAACGCCACTTTCCATACAAATACCAAACCCAAAATCTGGATGAGATTTGAAGCACCGTCTCCAATACCCTGTCCTCAGATGTGTGAGTGTCCCGCTCACGCTATGCTTGGCATATGGCCGCCCTCTGCTCGAATTCTGGTGACAAGGAACTCTTTCTTTTTCCGGGAAGCCAAGCCTATCTGTGGACAGCTCTCGAGTGAAAACTTCTTTCATGAAATGTTACCACTTTTTAACATAGAGTTTTAATGCCCTCAAAAAGCTGGAGAGTTGAAAACCAGCTCTTTACCTTGAGCTAATATGTCTCCGATGGTCAACTTTTGCGTTCAGAATTTTTTGCTAGAATTGTGTTTTCCTCCTTTCTGTCTACTTGAGCTCTGCCTCCCTCACCCGTTATCCAAGGAGGAAACACTGAAAGCCAGTGTTATGGTAGAAACTGTCAGCACCTAGCAGTAGCAGATGAAAGTAATCAAAGGTGTAGAAACACGGGGGGACAAGGCCTGTGACACTGAGCCCCAGCCTGCGTGCCCATCCTGAACTTGAATCTCAAAAACTGCCCTTCAATAAAAAGACACCTTAACCGAAACCTCAGGAGATAGAAGCCTAGATGATTGCCACTGGACGCGGTCCATTATTTAATAGGTGACCATAGAGAATTCCTTCTAATTGGGCTTCTTTTAGAGGACCGTCATTTTAGGGGTTTCATCCAGGAGTATGTTGACAGAGGTGGAAAACAGCCATCACTCAAAGCTGAGCCAAATAACATAAAAATAGAAAGAAATACGTAAAAGTGAGATTCAGCCAAAAATGGGAGGGGGGGGGGAAGCAAGCAAGAAAGAAAGGGAGCTCACATTATCAACCAATAAACCCAATAATCCATTAGTGACCAAGGTTGCTGAATAATATAGTACTTTCTCAGTGCCATAATTTATACTGCAGACCAGAGAATAGACACGGTTATTAGAGTGAGGGCTACTGGATGACACATGATGCATGACCGAGCGGCATTGATCTTCACACAACAGGAAGGTGTCTAGACCGGGAGATGTATGGCTCTGCGATTCAGAGGAGGGCATATTTCATGGGAGGCCTAATGGAGTAGTGGAGCCAGTGATGGATGGGTGTGCCCAGTTCCAGCAGTAGTGCAGTTAGAGCAGTGCTAATGTCTGACCTCTTCTGAGCCTCGTGTCCTTCATTCCGTCAGGGTGACCTCATTTAAAGGGACAGAAAATGAGATAGGGAGATGGGGGAGGGAGGGGGAGCCGAGGGGCCTGAGCTGAGGGGTGGCAGGGACTAGGCAGCTTGAGGCCGGCAGGGGGCGCTGCGGGGCGGGATTTAAACAGGAGGATGAAAGAAAGGGGCAGCCGGATGCCAAAGCCAAGCCTGACATCCAGGTCCCCAATAATTTGCTGGTAAAATAAGTGCTAGAAAGGTCCTTCAGTGCTCTTTTGCCTCCCCCCCCCACCCCCCATCGTCCCTAAGTCAGAAGCGCCCAGGAATACGATGCGGTTGCCCTGGGAGGCCTGGGGCTCCCTCTCCACTCTGAGAATAGGTCTCCATCCCCAGAGGAAGGAACTGAGTGAGGAAGGAGGTGAAGCACTGAATGTGAGAGACAGGTCTGGCGCTAATGGGCTGAGGCTGTTCGGTGAGCAAGTTGGAGTAATCTGCATCGATTATGCAATAGCAGAGAGAGCCTGTCCTCCCCCTGCACTCCCCATGCCCCGTTAGATGATGCTTAATGCATCCTAATGACACTCTTGATCATTCCTCGGGAAAACTAATGACTCATGCTACAGCCAGTCCAAGCCCAAAGTAGCGCTGTTGGTGGTGGTTTGCCTTTCTCTCTCGCTCTTTTTTCATAAATTTCTTTCTCTGGTTTAGTGTTGAGAGATAGGCAGAAGTCCAATCCAGCTTCGTAGCTGATATTTAACTATGAAAGAAACATTTATCATCATCCCCCATGTTCTCCTTGATTTCTGAGTTACTCCTTATTTGGGATTGACTGGTTTCCATGTGGTAGTGAGGGCTCGGGCACTCCTATAATCCTGCCTCTGTGGAATGAGGGGAAGTGTTAACCCGTTTATATTTCTTTTATACTTTTCCCACTGCCGCCCCGATGCAATAAACACACAACTGTCTCCCTAAAAGACATGGCTACGACACTCAGTCCCATGATGACCTTAGCCAAGGTAACTTGACTTGCTACTCTGTTGAGTTCTAGAATCGGGAAGGGATCCCCGGGGGACAGATGGTGTTTGATCATTCAGATACCACGGGTGGTGCATGTGAGATAGTAGCTGTGGTATTAGGGTATTTTCTGTGTCAGGGACTTTGGAAGTTTCTTTATAACTTTGGCCCTTGCTGATTCCTCCAGAAATTGTGCATAAAATTATGTCAGTCCTACACCTAAGACTGTACTTAGTAATCATGAATTAACAAGGCATCCATTAGCTGGCACAGATGAGTGCTAGGGGGTGGGAAGAGGAAGTACTCCTCCAGCTCGTCAACAAATATTTATAGAGAGACTTACAGTGGGCTGGGCTCTTTGTTCTGAAGATGGATCAGAAAACCAAACAAAATGGATCTCACAGTGTATTAAGAAGACAAACATTAAACAAATGAGCATATAAGAAATAAGTCACAGAAAATAACTCATGTTGTTAGGAGGAGGGTAGAAAAGAGAGCATCACTCCTGAGCGCACTTCTGAGCATCTGCTTGAAGCGTGTACTGTGCTCAGGGGA